AGAGGTCACGCGACCAAAAGAGTTAAATAAATGGCTTGTTCAAATGAAACACCGGATGCATACCGTGGAGAGGTGCTTACCCAATTTGATTCAAAGTCGATTTGGTGGGGGAGTTCACACGGTATTCATCAATTGCTATGAGGTGGAAGGTTGGAATCATCCGGTATAGATAGTGCTGCTTTCTTCATTTGTTACACAGCCTAATATCAATATGCGATATCGTGATGACCGTTGGACCAGGGCGGTTACTGGCTGGATCCCTCTGGAAGTCAAACGAACCCCAGGATGGCCGCCACCAGCAAGATGCTCAGACTTCTTCACGAAACCTTTGGACGAAAGCAATGCTATGCCTCGTGTCCCTCAAACGAGGACGACCCACTGGTCCACTCTGGCTCGCGACAGGGACAAATGAAGCGTTACTGACGCCCGATCGAGGAAATCGATAATCAACGGGACGACAGGTTATACAGGTGAACAACAATATTCGTGATAGAACGAAAAAGGGCTTGATAAAAAAAACTAGTTTCGACCCCCTGTCGAAGAAAATACGCCATAGGAGCGCCAGTTCTGCCTGTAAGAGACATGGCGCTCCATATGCAAAAGCGCTTTATGGTGCAATGGCAGTTGAAGGCCAAAGTAAACAACAGTCAACGAGATGGAGGGCCGTGATGAGCATCCATCAGTTAAAAGTGGATAAAAATGACGTTGGACCCGTCCCATATGGGTGGACTCTACCTGTACACTAACAATCCGAACAATATTTCTAAAAAGCAGGGACGCTCATGGCTGATTTGAAGTGGCGCTTTTGAGGTTCAAGATGATTGATGTGTTCGAGAAAATAACGACGGACTTTGATCATTGAAAAAATGATAAAAACTGAGATAAGATGATATTGAGTGGCAGACAACAAACATACGGTGAAACAAGCAATAAGCAGAGAGAATACTGATTTGAAGATGAAGGGAAATTGAGCAAAATTTGTTAGCCGAATGTCCGGCTCTTTTTAGCCGAATGTCCGACTATGTGGCAAATATAAAAGGAGAACCCATTCGCAAATGGATACTTAAACCATTCGCAAATGAATACTTAATTCCAGGAGAAATCTGCCGCCTCAAAAGTGAAAATTAAAAACTTTCGAAGGGGCATCGCATGTGATAACCACAGGGGCTAGGAGGTGAAAATATTAAGAAATGTAAAAAAATCTCCCTTTCTGAGGCTGCCGTCCAGGAGCTGAACGCATATTTGACAAGGACGTTTTCTCTAATTCGATAGGTCATCTTTATAAAGAATAAAAACTGTTAAAAGCAGATGAATTATCCATAAGTTCAGTCCAGTGAGCATAGTCCTAGCCAGCTATGAGGACTTCCTTTCATGACCCTGACTTCAGGGGTTCCCGTCACGAAACCACAAATACAGAATACTAGTTAGAAGCTAATCTATATGGCCTCCTAGGTAAGGAAAACAAGAAATTCATCATGAACAGGTGTTATTTATCCTCAAGCATGCGTGCATGGACTAGAACAACAGAGAAAACTCTGCTGGTGCTGCTAGCCTACTCACTGAATTTCAAAGTAAACAGGAAGTAAACAATCTTAATCGAAGCCGTTTCAATTGAATCTACAAACAAAATACTTTTGGAACGATCCAGGGGGTCTTGGTGTTAGAGTGGAAGAGAACGAGAGTGATGGCGGCGGAACGGCAGAGACGCAGTGTCGAACACATCGATCGTCGGCTGCCAGTGGGGAGGTGGACGTGAAGACGTCCCCCTCCTTTGCATTTCTCTGTTTCGTCGATGTCGTACTCATCATCGTAGTCTTCGCTTCTTTTACCCATACATTACTTTCAGAATGATGGACAAAATGTCCCCGCCGGGTACCGCATCCCCAGATAATCCGTTGACAAGGACCTCAACCACTCCACAAACAATTCACACTCCACCACTAGAACCAGGAGTTCCTATGCAATTTCGTAGGTTTATTTTCATTTACATAGGAGAGTTGGAATGTTCAAAGGCACGGTTCACTATAAAAATGGCTTGTGAGATATACCGCTAGGATAAATTTGTGGCTCCCTCGTATAGCATGTGGGCGTTGTAAGATCGAGAAATGGCCTAAATAGGGCGCTATAAGGGCTCACTGATTGTCCCGTTTGTATGACTCATTTTGTTCATAATCAAATCCAATGCCTTTCTGGGCATGCACGATTTCGGAGGTTCAGAGTTTAGCACTAATATTCAATGTTGCTAATTGTAAGTTCAAATATCAAAAGCTGATTGACTTTAGTGCAGTTCCCGTCAATGCAGGGCTGGTGAGAATTTTGTGGAATATGCTATCATCGAATAAAAAGGCCAACCATGGGGGCCCGCTTATGAGGACGCGTCGCGTTTTAGTTTTTCTTTGATACAGTTATTCATCGATATGCCAGAATTTGGCAGATAGCGTTCTGTACAATATAATAGCTAAAGTTCTTGAACTATAAATTCATCAAGAAGTAAGCGGATTCATGTTGCGCAGCTTTTCCAACGTCTTGACTGACGTGTAGAGGAGTAGTCGTTCGCTCACTTTCATCCTTCCAAAACAATTCTTCCATATACAAACGACATGACGAGATCTCATTCGCCAGAGTTCTTGGCACGCTATAGTCAGCCTTACACTTAGCCCTGTGTTGGGTCCAATCAGGGAAATAATGGTGTGTGAAAACCCTGGACTTTGCAATACTGAATGTTATGAATGAAAGAAATCCTTCATGCCAAACTCAGACCTTCCTTTCTTTATGTATAAGTGTGCTACTATCTTCAGAGATGCCGTTTTTCGCCAATCCTTTCATGTCACCGTTCATGCCTCAGCAAGGAGTACCTATGGATGGTGCTGCTGCAGCTGGAGCGAACCCTGCGATGCCAGCATTCTTCTTTTCTCCTGCTCAATATCAAGAGATGATGCAGCAGTATTTTACACAGATGATGACAGCTAATCAATACGGGATGAATATGGCTTTCCCAATGCCGTTTGGGACTACACTTGTCCGACCTTGTAGTCAGGTGAGCTAATCCTATTTAATTCACTCGTCTCATCTCAAGTGGAGCTAAGTTTGCCATCAATCTTTGTGCCATTCATGAGGATTTACCTCGGGGTCTTTTACTAATCGCGGCTTTAGAAGTCATGTTCTCCATCTCTTTGTCTTTGTAAAATGTTGAAGAGGCTTCTTCTAAATCCTTCTAAGACGAAAAAGTTCTCGTTCGCACCATAAAAGAATACCGTATTCTGAATAATTACTCTGCCTACGAAAAAGCCTCAAGAAACTTTTGAGTGATTTCCAGAAGTGTAGATTTGCGCATATGCTCTCTGGGTCTTCTAATGGAGACTGTTTGATATTTGAGAAAGATAAGGTTAATATCGAGTTACACTCAGGGTGTCATCTTTCTCTCTTCCTTCAGAGTTGGAATTAAAGTAATGGTTTTCTTCTGAAGAGACTATTGTTGTTCTGTAAAATAATACGATCGCCCTATTCTGTAGTGTTTCACACACACAGGCAGTCAGCTATGTGCCCCATTAAAATCGATTTTTCGGAAAGGGTTCAAGTTTGCTGTAAGTTTCGATGATATTTTGTGCATTCTTGATACGGTGAATTCCAGTTCCTGCACTTTCGAAGTATCCCAAGAACCATTTCGCCTGAAGAGTTTTTTTTCCTTTTAGACTTCGGGAAAACTTTCTTATATTACCGCTTAACTGTTTCTCGAAGTATCTACTGTTTTTTTTTTGTATTCTAAGGGGTGAAATTAGAGAGAAGTTCGTAGGGTATCTACATCTCATGGCTTCTTATCAAAGTCCCTTAGTTATGGAACCCTCTTGCTTACCCTCTTGTTCGCCTGTACCACAAAGGTGCTTTGATTATTCGTGGTTTCGGTCCTAAGAGACGATTTGGAACTTCTTGAAATCCAATCATGAACAGATATTCCAATACTAGAATGAAAATCTCTGAAATTTTCAAAAATACTCTCCTAATGTTGCTATTTTGTAGCGATTGCTACGTTGACGTTTTTCGAAAACATTCTAGCTTAGCATTTTATTCAATTTGTTCCCGAGATCCCTCTGAAGTTAGCAGTTTCCTGCCCTTCTGCCATGTTCCTATTTAGCTGTCCCGCATTAAGCGCAGGTGTTTCTTATTTGTGACGTTTTCAGTTTGTTTGACAGACAGGACATTTCAGTTTGTGAAACTTAATGAAAAATGGTGTTTGATCTTATTCTTATTCTTCTTCTTATTATTATTATTATGTTATTGTTTACCAGTCGGTTCGACTAACACCGGGCTTAAGGTTAACACCGCGCTCCCTCCTTCATTGACATGTTGTATGTAGTAATCGGCTGACTCTTCACGAAATCCTTGGAAATAATAATATTTTCCTGTAGATGAAGTTTGACACAGGACAAACAAATTACTCTTCATTACTTATTATTTTACTTTTGTTATTATTATAAAGTTGGTATTCAAGGCTTCACAATCGGATGGCGTTGGGGAAACAGTAAACGGACTGCATGAGTTGCATATATCAAGCGGAGCAGATCGAGAGGTAGAACATTCCACTTCAAAAGTTTTTTCTCTACTTATTATTGGTTGTGATGTGACGTTCTTTTTTGCAGGTCGTTATTCCATCTAATGTTGCATGCCAATCTGATTCTCCTTCATCGTCAGGCAAAAACTCTATAGCAAGCGGAGCAGAAAGGGGTAAGTTTTTTATGTGGAAGCGAGTTCCATGTGCAAAATCATTCCTTTCTTTATATGTTTGCTACTGTTGCGAAATCCGCACATCTGCCGAGATGAACTAACCGCTGCTATTGTCCGATAGCTTTTTTTGAGTGAAGGATACTTCTGCGAGCTCATTTAGTCGAAGCCGCGGCTCGCCAACATTTCGTGAATGCATGTGAACGCTTCTCTATTGCTGTATGCTCATGTCTCGGTTGCGCCCTTTCGAAACAGCGCTCGCTGATTGTTTTGCCGTCGTCGCTTAGCAGATTAATTACGACCTAGAGTGTGTCATCGCATATGCATGGCATTGCTTCGGTTCGTGAGATTTTCTAATCGAAGACCCTTTGCGGGACAGCAATGAGGGCCTCCCGAATTTACTATTCATGTCCACTGCGGCCTAGAAATACACAATATGGCCTTCTCTGGGTTTTTCGTAGGAATGATTCGCGAGGGAAGAGAAAACGGGCAGTTGGATTGGTCACGGTCAGCGACTATTGAGTGGTTAGCATTACTCACTGCAGCTGTTTTTGTTCAAAATGATGAAAAATGTAGTTGATCAGCTCTAAATCGATGTGTGACAGTAATGATCATCCCCTGAGAAAAAATCAAATTGCAGTTGGTTAGCAGAAACAATTTGCTGCACCATAGCCAGGGAAGCATGCATGAAAAGGCCCGTCCTCGAAGTTTCCGGGTCACTCATTTCTCCATGCGATTGTGTTAGTTCGCAATAATGATTGTAAGGTTTGCCTATAGAAAAAAAATCGTGTAAATCGATTGGGTCATGACATTTCGTGAAGTTAAAGCTGCGGAAATTGAAAATTCGATACGGTCGGTCGTTCTTTGAAGTCAACTGCTTAATCTTATATGTCTTCCGTAAGGAAGTGAATACGGTGGTTACTGATTAGTGGAAACATATTGGGAAATAATACGCTAATCCAAGCAACAGCTTGTTCTTGTTTATGTCTCAATGCAAAAAGCATGAGTCCTGCATCTTCTCCGTTTTGATGTTGAATACAATATAGGACGGCATTTTTTCGACAGTCTAATTGAATATAATTTTTAATTTCCTTTTCCATTACATTTATTCTCGTTAGCTCAGGATATGAGCAACAGCTGGCTTTTAGTAGGCGTCGAGCTGATGTCCTTGACGGTTCTCGCTCCCAACCATGATTAATAACCTGACCATCGTTTTGATAGCTTTCCTCACTTCTTTGAGTAGATTGAAGCGAGCGCTGACTGACATCCGAAGAGCATTAACTAGTGCTATCTAGGATAGATGCTGTCTCCTATGGAGTGAATGGAGTTGCGTTGTTGATAGCGGTCTCAATTAAAAAGTATTTCATGAGGGGAAGAGTGGAGCTCACGTAGGTTGTTGGGGTTGAAATCGATTCTCGCAATGTTACCTATATTCTTATAAGTTATGTCATATTGTATATCGTTACGGCAAAAGACGACGGAATGAACTTCGAGTAGGCTGGCCTATTTGATGGTTCACCTGGCTGGCCTCATCAGCGTACGCGCCTGAGAAATGGCCGATGTGGTGGGTGTAGTGGCAAGTGGCGCACCATTCCACGCGCATTGTTTGCTAATCGAATCGGGGATCGTTACTCACCCAGGCCAACGAATCCTTTCATTCCCCTGGTAATTAGCTCTCGTAATGAAATTTCCTAAATTGAAACTTGAACTAAGGGGTCTCGTGATTGCTTTCCTTGCTTGTGGGACAAGTAAGTTCACTGAAAGAACAACCGAATCCAATTGGAAGGTGTTCCTGTACTTAAGCGACTTTACGAGTAGAAGCTGATGTGCATCCCATTAAAGATCAATGACTGGTGTCAGACATTTATGAGGCGATGCACTTCAGTCTCTGGGCATCGAAGTTTTCGTTGGAAATCAAAGGGAAATGGAGGATGTCATGCGGAGAAAATCCTCCCATGAAGTTTTTGAGTATTGTTCCATAGATTATGTGAGTAGAGCAATAGTTCAAGTCTTCATTTCAAGGATGGGGAACAGAACCAGATTAATTCCTTCAAAATTTTCACTTGAATTTTCACTCTACCCGAAGAATTTTTTGCTCTGTCTTTGGATATGGATGGGTACCTGTAAAGTATCCACGAAGGAGTAGATGTTAATAAGTTTTCGAGTAGGGTGTTCACACACGGCCGAATTGTTCCACACGACTTGAGTGCCGCTTCATTAATGAGCATTGCCCTTGCTTCTGACTCGCTCCTTCGATTTCCTTGCACTTCGGGAACATTTTCAGTGAAAGCCAGGCAACGTAGCCAAGATGTATCGTTGCATCTTTACATATAATACTTATTGACGTGAAGTATTGCACGAAACCTGATGAAAGTAATCAAAAACTATCCGTTTTAGGGGGCTAAAGAAACTACGATGAAGAAATGAGAGAGGTAAAGTTAAAGAAAAGAAGCGAAACCCTTGTAAAAAAGGAATTTTCATGAGCTGTCGTCTTTTATGACAAATATAAACCATTTGAATAGTCCTTTAATGAAGATTTGTCGTCAAGATTTTTTCCTTCTGAAATTCATCGCATTCCATTGAAAAGATGGAATTTGTAAAGACATTCTTAGAGGTAGAGATCTGTTAGGTAAAATTGTGGTCGTTATAAAGAAAAATATCATTGCTGTCTGCTTCACTGAGTTGCAAGATTCTCGAAACCAAATAGGAAGTTTTGGTCCTAATACTTCAGTTTCGATTTCAGTTGCAAATGAGGTCTCCGCAGACAGTAACCGAAGTTCTTCTGAAGAGCAAGGACAGGTTTGTATCGTTTCTGACGTTTTTTTTTACTCAAAAAAGGGTCATGCCTTTGATTAGATATCGCCCACGAGTGTTCAATTTCGTGACCACCATAATTCTTCCACGTTTCAGGGCAAGTCACCTTGTGTTGATTCATCATCTGAAAAGGTTTCAACGAAGAGTGAAGGAGAGGAGGCGTGTGAGACACCTAAGAAGAAGTTCGAACGCAAGAGTTCTCTGCCAACGGAGGACGAAAAGACCTCGAATCTGATTCGAAAACAAATGAGCGAAATAGAGAAAGAAATCACTCGACGGTCTCAGAACAAAAATATCAAAAAGGTAGGCCCATTACTAACTAGTCTACTATTTCTGCGAAATCTCAATCATATCGAAAATTTTGTTTATATATCTGGAAGAGGTTCTGAAATGACTGGGTGGTGGAGGAACACGGTTCTCGCTTTCAATTTCTTGATCGTTCGTCTTTTGATACAAGCATACTTTCTCCTCGCTATGTTTTTAGGCATTCCCATGTTCGTGGCAGAGCGATTCTTTCATTTGGAGAATACTCTCAGAGTACTATATCTTGGAGACCTTCCAATACCCCTAGCTCCTTCCTTAATCTTGGAACCTAGGAAGTTAACTAGTATTCACGCCAGCTAGAATCAATTTTAAGTAATATATTGGGTGTCAGTGTGATGGACGCTTGTTGCGGCGGCTAACTCATTAGCCTTCTTTTCTCTGAGTTTCCTCGTTTATGGCGCTACCTCCAGTCCCCATCCTTTCGATATACATCCGATTATACCGCGCACAAGGAAATTTCATCTAACTAGGAACTAAGNAAGTTCTGCCTGAGATTCAGAAATCTTGCGAGACATCCTTCTTGAAGTTTTAAGTTTAACACCAAGTCAGTCATATTGTTCTTGGTTGGGCGTTTAGGAAAAAAAAAGTTTGCTGTAGAAAGTCAGCTAGCTGTATGTCTTTTTAAGAAAGAGGTTACTCACCAGTGAATACCGGAAACACTTTGAGGAGGTGTCATGGGTGTCTTTATGGTTTATGAAGAGACAAGAAATCGAGGTCATTCAAAAAGAAGTTGAAACTTATAGCTTTTCATCTGGATTTATATGTCTTGTTCAAGAGCTGATGTGATGTAGTGGCAAGTGGTGTATGGTCTTAGTCACGGCTCGATTTTACCCACCCAGACAATTCGATACGCTCCCACAAATCTAAATGGAAGTTAAATGTGGGGGCATTCCGAAAACGGGAATAATTACGCCAAAAACTTTATATTTTATCCATAATGATTCCCCTTCTTGATCTTGATTTTTCTGTCGAGGGCCTGAACAGTGGTGTTGATTTGAAATTTTTCTCTGCTGATTGTTAGCGAAACATTTTTTGAACCTTAAGCGTTAGGGTTTGGTCATATTGTTTTCATCAGAAACCATCACAGTGGAAGCGGATAACCATCTTCCTGTCAGTCGTTATCCTTACTATATTTATCAATTATTAATTCATCAAAGAGATTTAGTGGAGATAGCGCTGTTTTAGTGCCGTAAGTAAAGGTTTAAATAAGGTAGAGGCTGCTGCATCTGGAAGGGGTGGCTTTGTAATGCTACTGCTGAGGATATGAGTTCTTTGCTGCAATTCGGTAGTTGTCCAAATCGATGGGTTCTAACGGGTTGCGCTTCACCCTACTGATTGCTTCATTTGCGCTTTACCCTGTTGTCTTCTATGGAATCAACTTATGGCGATATAAAGGCTACCTACCGGTTGTCTCTTCGAAAATGTTTTCAGTGACATTTAACAAATGGAAAACTGAGACGAACGCGAAACGACAAAACGATTCCGTGCAAGCAATCTTAATTTCCCCAAAAACAGATTGCAGTTGAACGAAGATGTTTAGACACATACGGCCCTTCCAGTTGGCTCATGACTTGGTTCTTCTATAATTCCAGATTTTAAAATAAAAGGGCCCCCTCTCGATGTCGGGGAAGTCCAGAACGGAGCTTCAAATTGCTCGTGTTGAGCAAAGAATGCAGATAGTCAGTGCGGGCCCAATCGTTTCGCGAGCGTTTTGCGTACATTCTGTTGATTTCATATATTTTATCAATTCAAACTGATTTTATGTTCAATTTAAAGAGGTAAAACAAGCTCATGCATCAATATCGCAACCCCTCATGCCACATGTGTGACTCCTGCATCTTACTAACTGCGCCACCGCTTCACTTCGAATACAGGAACGCAGCATGTTCATGTGGTCGACGGAACCGCACACTACATGGAGAGACTTCTTCCGTAATTTTGTTCCTAGGATCCTACCGGAAATTGGAAAGTCCGCCGTCCGCAACACATACAGCGTTTATAAAGCATCTTGAACGGCCACTACGCCCTAGCGTTCCCCTCATTTTGTTAGTTGGGAAGCATATGTACTTATATACTATATATCCAGGTTGTTCGAGTTGATCGGCATAGTAATGAACGTGAAGTATTCATGTAACAAATTCTGTTAGATCTGTGACACTATGGGAGCCATTAAGCTTCTGTATGACACATATAAAACTTTCCTTCTTCGCACCAGCATACTAATGTGTATTTCTTTTTAGTTAGAGTTGAAAGTAGTACGTGTGGTTATATTTTCTTAGTGCGTAGGTTGGATTCAGATAGACGATCGCGAGTTAGCTGAGTTATTCGGCTCGTCAGCGGTTGCCGCTGGCCTCACTTCAGCGGCCTCTATGTCGGCTCTGAATGAACATGCTACTTTCGCACCTAACTTCTCATCCGGCTCCAATGACTCGCAGGTCTGTCTGCCGTCGTGATGTGCTTCTGTGGTGATGACGTTCGCTAGCATGCCGTGATTGTGTTAGTTGGAGTAATCAGACGTCATTTTCTATCCCTATCGTCGTCTGCCTCAGTGTACTTCCTGTTTTCCTCGCAGAACCCTTATAAGGTGCTTTGAAACCTGGTTTTAGAAATATCAGCTTTATTTTTGGTAGTTGAATGTGTTAGGCTGAACATTATTTCGAGCCAGCGGTTCCTGCCCTAGTTTGCAGTCTACAGGGTGTACTATCCCTTTCGTCTTGCAAAAGGGTTAGCTGATAAATTTGGTAGTGAGCGCCAGTTCGTAACATTTATTAGAAACCATTTCAAGGTGTTGTCGACTCTGTGTACTTGCTGTGGTAAAATAGAATATCTCAATTCCACAGTTGTCTTGGTGTGGAATAATTGCTGTGGTGAACCTTTGTTTGATACTGAAAGAATGTCATCATTACCCCTATGCTGTATAAGTGGTCCGTTCAGAGTGCACTCCCCTTCTCGGCGGCCGTTAATGAATGTAAACCTCCACCGAAGGAGACAATCAACCAGCTAAGGTCGTCGTTCAATCTGCCCGAGATGAGCTCTTCACCGGCTCAGCTCCAACTTCAAATGCAGCAGCACTCTGGTACAAATTCAATTCCGTTTGCATCACCGCAGGTCAGTTTTTTTTGCAGCATCACCTGGTATAGTGTGCTTGTAATGTTCAAGTATGATTCTCTTGATGTTATAGATGGCTGGAATGCCTCATGGCATGAATTCGCCGCTGCATAGTCAACCGATCATAGGTGCTATGACGCAGCCATTTCCAATGGCTCAACCTTTTCCATGTGGGCAGCCAGTAATCGGTCCGTTCGCCGCTGCACAAATGCCCTTCGCTGCAGCACAATTCCACAACAGAGGTCACAATGTTTCTCACGAGGTCAGTTAAACCACTTCATATGGTTACGATGAGTTTGGCACCAATGGTGCGTATGAGTTATTTCGGAAGAGGAGCTCGTTCACATATCAGAGAGATTATAGGAGCTGTGTGGTTCCCAATTTTTTTCCAAATCCGTCTCCTTAAGCTGCCTCAGAAGTTTGGTAGATGGTCATTTCTCTTTCCAGCAGCTAGCTGCTGCGTTCCTCCCTCAAGACCAACGACCAAGCCAGGCGGAACCACAGTCGTCGAACTCGGAATCCGTCACTGATGTAACAACAACTTCAACAGTATCAGAGCATGTAGCAAATGTACCATCTGGTGGTACTATTGCTCCTCCTCCCCCGCCAGCCAGGCCAGTTCACCGACGTATTAGTCAGGTTAGTCATCAAAAGTGATTTTCTCTTTGTAATGCTCTATCTCTGGGTAACCTGACGTGTTGCAGTCTGCTCAACCTTCTTCTTCATCTGAATGGCCAGATGAAAATAAGGAAAACGGAAGTACGGAAGAACCTGTTTGGGTTCTTCGTGATTCGTACTTGAAACGAATGCAGCGTGAAGTGAAGGAAGAAGTACGGTTATTTCTTCTAGCCAATCCGCATTTCTGTTCATTGAATGCTGTTCAAAAGAAGTTGTTTCTTCTTAGGAGCAGCGGGACGAATGGAACGGGGACGCAAACACGGCGGCCAGTGCTTCATCAACAACGGAAACTCCTGCAGATGGTGAAGAAATGGAGACTGATCGGCTGCTTCTTAGTGGATCGACAGGTGGCTCCCAGCCTCCGCCCCCCTCTACAGGTCACGGAAAGAAGAAGAATAGCAAAGAAAGTAAGTGTTGCTTGTTTTAGAAAAATGCGAAAACAGAGTGGCCCCATGTACGTTTTCCTCATAGCTTCTAAGCAAGTTTCGATTCGGCGCTAATAAAACCTGTTGTGTGTACATGTCATTTAACAGTCATAGAAAAGCTATTGCGGTATACTTTCTTAAAAAAGCTGTTTTCACCATGCATCACTCTGTGTCGCTCACTTGCCTCTGCTACGACTAAATCACATAGGTGAGTAATGTGCTTGCACTCGACGTCGAGTTTGCTATGTTCCGAGGTCATCCGCGCTTCCAGTTTTGTGATTTTCTTTGGCTTGCATGGTCCATTACTGTTCTACCCAGTTCTTTGATCCGGGTCTTGATTGCTCTGAATGAAACTGATTGCGGTGTGCCCCGTCCCTCTAGAATTGCTGCTTTGCTCATGTGACTTTTCCACCTTTTTATGTTTCTGAAGTCATCCCCACCTTTTTTGATAGCTTCATATGATTTGCATTTCAATCCTAGATATTCCTGGGATTGTGGCTATATTGTTTTTTGAGTTTGAATATTTTATTGTAAACAAGACGTTTAGATTGTCTATGACATTTTAGCTATGGTTCATGAACCTGCAGTTCTCATCGAGGGAGTCCTGTTCCGTGCGCGATACCTTGGCTCAACTCAAATGATGTGCGAAAGCCGTGGCAGCAAAGCAGCAAGAATGGCACAAGCCCAAGAAGCCGTGGCGAGAGTGAAGGTGCTGTTGTTTCACGTGGTAGTTTAGTCATTTCAGTATGGTTGCAGTGTTTCAGGCTCCGGAGGGTGAGATCCAACCAAGTACTGAGATTGATTTGTTCATATCAACTGAGAAGATCATGGTCCTCAATACGGATTTGCAGGTTGGTGAATTAGCATTACAAAGAAAAGTAAGGTTGATTGATGCGATTTGCTCCTCGCTCGCTAACTCTTGAATATTAGAATACTTCGTTTACCCAAGCTTCTCCTCATCATGATAGTGGATATGCAGCTGCTCCGCATGCTCTTTGACATAATAGTTGCCGTGCTTATGTAAAAAGCAGTTGCCAGATATTCCACTCATAATTAGTTTGATTTGTGAACTTAGATCCTACTTACACAAGTCAAACATTCATTCCAAGTTCGCCCTTAGATTTTCGTAGAGTCGAAAAGTCGGTATCGTTGACGAGATTCATAGATTTTTTATAGCTTCACATTCTTCTTTATCTTTTTAACAGCCTTTTCAGTATTCAAAATTCACACTAACTTATGCCAACAAATTTTGCAGTAACATCAAAAAATAGAAATTTGGATTTCCACAAAAAGCGAACGCAATTTATGGAACGACCGAATAAGGTGATGCCCTTTTGTAGGCACGGTAGAATTTCATATCGAACCATTTTTCACAATGGGCTAGCGAAAAATTTTTAAATGCTTACCAATCCAATTTCAAGATGTGCCGACCCAACAAGCTTTCCTCAGAGTTAAAATGACGTTTGAATGCTCCTATACAATCAAGGTCATTCGCAACCGGACTCACTTAGGAGGATAAGAGCGAACCATTGCTTTTATTCCCTTAGGTGAGTCCATTTGGCTGACCGAGAAGATATGGAATGCTCACTTACAATGCGAGCGTATCGTTAGAAATTTGACCCTACGTGAGGTATTGCGCCATTCGGCCCCACCGCACCTCTGCCCACAGTATTTTTTCCATACTAGACTCTTTTACTTTTGAAAGTGCACTTCTGTCTATGAAGTGAGCTTTTCTCAAAGAGGGCACGAGCGTCCTCTGAGAAGCCCTACTTTGACACGTTGTAGATACTGTGGCTTCTATGTCTGACAGTCCAACGTTTTCTTTCTGATGGAATCAATGTGTTAAGATCCGCAAATTAAGAAGTCCACATTGAGGATACAAAACATTAATGATGTATCATTGCAAATAGTTAGCTTGGTCCTTGGCTGCAACTATGATAGTGGCTGTTATTCTTGACCTTTTCCTCTGGCTTACCCAAGTCGCTTAGCTGACGGTATACATAATGTTGGAATTCTGTCTACGTGATATGCTCCTTCTTTGTCAGTAGTTTCTACAAATCCAACCGCTCTCTGCTAGATCATGCGCCCGTTTCAATGTTTTTCACAATATTTTCCTCTGTACAACCAGTCCTCATTTCAGAGAATCTCCGATACAGATGTTCGGCAGGTGAGTGTTCGATGTTGTGTTGTGTATTATGAAGCGTGTATATTGAGGTTCACTTTTGATTGGGAATGTCGTGTATGATCCAATTTTAATTCAGTGGCGGTGTACGTTTAAATGCGATGGTGCGCCTGGAAAGAGTGCAAAACTGTTAATCACAACTATGTCAATGCATTTCATTGTGTTTGTCACTTCATAGCTTCATGGGTAACGGAATGAAATGGGTTTGAATAGAAAAATAACGTCCTATAGAAATGAATACAGAGACTAATGTATTGGATCACTTCTGCTGCACACCAACTTAAGTTCAGCCGGATTAAAGGCGTGGTTGATAATAATTATGAGTTATCCTTGTTATGTCGAAATGCGGAAGTTTTGGCTGGGAATAGTGCATCAGTGGTAAAGGAAGAGGAGAGTTTGCCGATTTTGCGAAAATCAAGGCCTCTCGAAGGTGCACGAGATCACCATGACGGAAATGGCCTGAAAGGAGGAGNGGGGGGGGGGGGGGGGGGGGGGGGGGTGGTATTTGGATCAGATTCCAGTTGAGGCAATTGCACAAAGAGCTGGCTTCATCATAGCAGGAGTGTCCTCCAGAATTGCCCTTCACTATCGGTTTGGGTCATGAAAAAGTTTTTTGAACTTTCTACATACATGGGTTCCCGTGTGAACGTGTGAACGGAGCAACCTCTACTATGCCGTTGCAATTCGTCCGCCCATACCCACGAGACAACTTTGTGCCTTTCATAACGCCCTATCTGGGCCGTTTTCCGACCGGGCAGCGCCACAAATGGTTTACGAGAGCGACACACGTTTATCCTGACAGAGTATCTCATACGCCATTTTTATTGTGAACTGCGTCTTTAATCATAACAAAACATGAGGTTATTCATAGAATGTAGTCATTTTCACGGGACTTTAGTAGCGTGCTCTGTGAAAGTCCTCTCCAATTGCGAAATCCACTCTTAGACAACTGTGCCTTCGAAGGACTGTCACAACGATCCGTTTCTTCGCCTTCACAAATTTTGCGACAGTGAAGGCGAAAATCAGTTCAGCTACTCTTTCCACTGAAAAACGGAATAACTTGATGGCGGAGTGCGCTTATACCTCCACGTTAGATTGGTTCCAGTACTCGTACTCGTTATTCTGCAATAAGGCGTTGTAATGAGACGCAGTCAATGAGATGAAAATCTGAAAAGTTTAAAAGGAAAAAGAGCATTCAGGTAGAAGCGTGGGATCGTGCAAAACTGCACTAAAAGTTGATGTAGTCAGCTGTGGGCTATTAATAATGGAATAATGTGTAATGAGAGGACTGATCCCCGATTTCCTCCATGCGTTTGCACCTATGGGCGCTGCAGTTTCCCTGTCTGAACTGTTTGCCCAGATCAGTGAAGAGACACGAACCAGAAGAACAATCATCAAGCTCGAAAAATTGGCGCTGCCGAGGAGGCAAGGCTTAGGTGAAAGGG